TGGTGGTCGTGGCGAAACATGCACAGGACCAAGCACCGTCATTCAACAATCCCTGCGTGTGCACTGCAGGGGACTAAGGACAGCCAGCTGTATCACCGTCCTCTCCTTCTTCTAGATTGTTCCTTCGCTATGAACATGCTGCCCTGCCCAAGGCTGACCTGTTCTCGCTCCCTTCACACTCTGATCAGGGGACTGGATTTACGTGTTCACACATTCTCACCTCTGTTCAACATTGAGACTTCTGAGAACTGGATTTGTGGACGTCAGAGAAGACAAAGGGTAGTCGTCCAGGCTCTGTAAATTATTTCTGATGTGATTTCAGGATGAACCCCAAAGCCACCATTCATTAAATGCTGGGCCCCATGATTCCTGGCAGTGAGAAGCAGAAGAAGCGGCATCTCCTGAGGAAGGAGACCAGACATCTTTACGGGGTCTGCTCTCCCTCCACCCAGACACCTCACCAAAGCCTGAGTACAAGGGGCTGGTGTCAGGTGAACACCCTCAGGGAGGTAACATGGGCATCTCAGCATCAAGCCCGAGGCATGCGTCCACTGCCCGACGGTGCTGCAGGACCACAGCTGTCCTTGTCCTTCATGTGGGAGGGAGGTTAGAGCAGGAGTTCAAATGAGGGAGATTTGGCACCGCCGTCCTGCTGACTTTAGGCACCATCTGGAAACAGTTCTGGCCGTCACTGGCATCCACTGCATAGAGTTCAGCGTGGGACTTAAAACTATCTTCCACTAGTTAGTAGTGGGTCTCATGTGCTATGGACACATCACCAGGAGGCACCAATCCCTGGAGGAGGACATCACACTGGCTGGAGGGTTAGTGAGGCCCCATGACCCCTCCCCATCACATGGCAGGCATTTAACATTTAAGGGGCTTCCCAGGACCCCTCCCCTCTGCTCATAACATTACATATTGGCTCAATGTTTTAGATTTGGGGGCACCCATGATCCCTCCTCATCACACACTGCCTTAGCATTTGAGACTGGGGGGACCTCCCAGGACCCCTCCCCACCACACAGCACCATAATATTTGAGACTGGGGTTTCCCATGATCCCTCCTTTCTGTTCCTAACATTACATACTGGCTCAACGTTTTAAACTTGGGGGGCACCCATGACCCGTCCACATCACACACGGCCTTAGCATTTGAAACTAGGAGACCTCCCATAATCTCTCCCCATCACACACTGCCTTAGCATTTGAGATTGGGGGGCGAGGGGGAGTTTCCACGACCCCTCCCCATCATGCAGTGCCCTAGCAATTGAACTGGGGACTTCCCATGACCCCCCGACCCTGCTCCTAGGATAAGGTCCCCTAGGCAAGCCACCCTCCTCATCACAAGGACCAGGTCAGGACCTGTGTGGCCCTGGTGAGCAGACTGCAGATCCTGCCAGACTGAGGACTGAACCCCACAGGAGGCACCCACCCTGCTGCAGCCTGTCCCCACGGCCGGCGCGTCTTCCCTCCGCTCCAGGTGCAGCCACGTGGCCTCTGTGTGTCCTCCCGCTGGCCGTAAGCACAGTGGAGAAAAGTCACCATCACCTTTCCTCTGTGCTGGGTGCCACGCGGCCAAGTCCTCAGGATCCCAGGACACAACCCCTCCCTCATCAGTGGGGTGAGGAGGTGAGGACTAAGACAGCCAGGGGGGCTGGTCACCCTAAAATCCAGACCAGCGGCCCTCCTACAGTTACAAACAGGACTAAGACAGCCAGGGGGGGCTGGTCACCCTAGAATCCAGACCAGCGGCCCTCCTACAGTTACAAACAGCACAACAGCACCAGGTACGCGTCAAAGTGCCACCTGACCCCTGTGGCACCGGTGCCTCTGCGGAAACAACGGGTGGTGGTGGTTGTTAGGTGGTGTTGAGTCAGCTGTGAGTCACTGTGACCCTGTGGACCACAGAACAAAGCCCCCTCTGACCCTGGGCCACCTCACAGCCACCAGCATGGGGATGTCCACTGTTGGGCACTGTCTCTGTCCATGTCACTAAGGGTCTTCCTCTCTTTCGCGGACCTTTTTACTTTTCCAAGAATGATGTCCTTTTATCTCGGGACTAGTTCCACCTGATAACATCCCCAAAATATGGAAGGGGGGGGGAGTCCATTTCAACAGCACACGCCCTGAAGGAAGACAGAAAACGGCAGAAGAGAAGTCTCCTCAGGTACTAAAATAGAAAGTCCGGAAAAGCCATTGGACACTCCTAATTACCTTTCCTATCCCATTCGGTTCACGTTTATTCTGCCATGCAAAATAAGAGGCAATTTAGAGCACGCCTCCACTCTCTGCTGGATTATTTTAAGATCCTGCTTCTTTTACATTTTACCCTAAGAAGTTCCACCAGCATATATATAACCAGTTGGCACAATCCATGGGCAATCCCTTCCCTAAGAGGATTTTTCCGCCTCAGAAGCTGCAGCTTCTAATGAAATCCGATGTCCCGCCGGATCGTGGGCACGGAACAGTCACCCTTCCTACGAGAAACCACAGCTGCTTTGCCGAAACTTTTTTTAAAATGCCTCATCTAAATTTACATTTCTTATGTAAGCCGTTAGCAGGTCTCCGTTTGTGTATTCTCCTTCTCAATGATCCACGGTATTTGACAAGAAAGACTACGAGCCTCGCTCTTCCGGGCACAGCCTACCCCTTTCAGACTCAGGGTCAACGCTGACCTCGTGCACCTCGCCAAGCTACGGGAGCACAGCTGTCAGGCTTCAGCGGGCACCGTGACTGTTTTGGTTTCATCTTCATCTCTTACCTCTCAGACACTCTGAGAATTAGCCAAACTCAACCCCATTGCCACTGAGTAGACTCCAACTGCCCGTGACTCGCAGGGCAGCACACAGCTGCCTCACGGATCCCGGGACCGGTCGCAGCAGACCACCCATCCTCCCCCAGATCTGGGGGTCGGAGCCGAGGGCACATCAGTCAGCAGCCACGGGCTTCTCACTGCCCCTGCCCCCACCGCAGGGGTTCTTCACCCTCTCAGGTGCAAAAGCTAAACATGGAAAAGAGAAACAGACGCAGAACTGAGGCATTCAGGTTGTGGTGCGGAGAACACTGACTGAGCAGGGCATGGTCAGGAGAACGAGCGAACTGTCTCCGCAGTAGGAGAAATGCAGCCCAGGTGCTCCTGACGCATCATCAGCCCCAGTAGGGTAAAAAGGGAAGCCACTGACTGGGAAAAAGTATTCGGTAATATCATATCAGATAAGGGACTTATATCCAGAATTTATGAAATACTTGAGCACCACAACAAGATAAAGGTAAATAATCCAATAGAA